GGTGACATGTTTTTGTTTTCTTACAAACCAATGTTTCTATGATTTTTTAAAAGCACCTTTTATGTGTTCATATGTCCATCTTTCTGTGCATATTTGTCTCCTATGCAGAATTGAAACCTACAGTTTGATCATTTCCGTCTCCTAGGGCAAGGGTGTGTGTGCACGTGTGCATGTGTGTGTGGTCTTAAGCAAATAGTTAACTTACTGATATCTTCTGAACAACAGTACTACGCACTTGGGTAAGCAAAGAGGAACATCAGTCCCTGAAGTGATTGAAGGAATTTATACAGCCCCCCCCCCCCTACTCAGAGTGATAGCTGAGTCCTTTGGAAAGCAAGAGTAGAGTCAGGTGAAGGGAAAGCGTAGCCAGACAGTGTGAATAGTGTGCGCAAAGCCTGGAAGTGAGCGAGAACCAGGCCTGGTCAGCGCTGAAATGGCTAACTCCGGACCAGGAGCGAAACTAGGTGAAAGCCAACTGGAAAGGCACATGAAGACAAGCTCGTGTACGGGCTTCCATAACGTGTGGGGTTGAGACACTTTTGTAGGGTGGGGGTGAGGGGGTTCTGACTCTGAAGCCGTTGAGGGCAAGAGGGTGACATTTATTACCAAACTGTTTTAAAGTTATTTTGGCTGCAGTGTGGTAACACACAGGGCTGGTAGAAGTCCTTTCCAGAAATCCATTGGTGTTAAAAATGAGAGTGGGGCCCTCCCTGGTGGCGCAGTGGGTTAAAGTGCACAGCACTGAGAATCTGAAGCCACTTCCGCATGAGTTCGATTCCCGCCTGCCCCGGAGGTGACCACATGGCGAGCCAGACCTCTCCTGACCCGCCCGCTGCTCCCCTCAGCAGTGTACTTCGTCAATCTGCCTGTTCTGCTCCCCACTCTGTCTCTGGTGAAGCCTCTCACCGTCCCTGAGCCTCTGGCCTGTACCCCAGTTCTGTATGAATAAATAAATAAATCTTAAAAAAAAAAAAAATGAGAGTGGATGGTCACAGATTGAACGTGAGCATGAGTGGGATGATGATGTATCACCTTCTACTAAAATTTAGCCTGGAGGACAGGCCACCAGAGGGGAGTGTGTTTCAGACACATTAAATATGTGATTCTGTGAAATGTTTTCAAATAGAAATTTCCATGAGGCCAAATAAATGCTGATGTAAAGTTCTCAGACAGACAGTTTTCCACTATACTCAGGTCTGTGGCCACATGTAAGTCCATTTTGGGTCCTGTTCCTTCTGAGAGTGCTCATCTCTATCTCATTGGGTCTTCCCCTTTCTGCAGCTTTGTTTCCTCTGAATTGAAAATGTAACTAGATGATCTGCATAGTCTCTTATGCTTAAACCTTCAGCAGAGACTGTAATTCTTTTTTTCCCCCAAAGATATTAGAGGTTGGAGTTTGGAAATTTTTGGCCCTAAATTCCTCAGAATCTAATTTGTACTACTGTAGTTGCTTCTTATGCTAAGAAAAATCCTGCCTATTCAAATGTGTATGATGGACCTGTGCACCCTCAACAACTTTTCCTCCTGAGGTTCAAAAAGAGAAAGGATGTAGCCAGATCTGGTGAAATGGCAAAGGATTGACCCAAGCTCCTCAGGAAGGGTCATATTAGGCCCAGACAAAAAGCCCTGACCTCCTGGGCTCTGTACTCACTGGGGCCTGGCTCCTTCTGGGTGGACAAGACCCTCCGGTCAAAAGGAATCTCACCCCCCGCCAGAAATCCAGATCACCCAATGGGCCTAAGGCAGCAAACTTGCTCTTCTCTGTCTAGTCTCTGGCTGTAGTTTTTCTCCAGATGCACTGTCAACCAAAAAGAAGAGACAACTGCAAAAAGCTCCGTGTGTTTACTAAGCAAGTGTGGGTTTTCCAGAGTCCTAGGCCCCTTACTGAAATATAGGTGTGGGGGAGATCTGGCCTATTGTCAGTGTGACCCTGACCTGCTCAGGTTGGCCCCTTGTTGTGTATATTGTCTCTGACAGGCTGGGCAAGGGTTGTCAGGCCTGTTGGACTCTCACAAAAACAAATCCCAATTGTTGTTTCCATTTGTATATCCTCACCTGAGTGTTCCTTGGTCACAAACTACTATATAACAGGCACTGTTACATGTGGGAGGTAATTTAGAAGATAGGATTGACTGTCTAAGACTTCTGGAGTCAAGACAGCTTGCCTTCCCACATGTACAAAGGCTCTGCAAGAAGTCATATAAAAAGTGGAGATTTCTGTAGTGGGAAGAGGGCTGGCAAGGTCATTTGCGAAAGGAAAGATTATTTTGGGCTAAACCAACAAAGGCGCAGGGGGGTCTCATGCACACGGCTCCCAGTGTGAATCAGAAAACTCCAGATTGACGTGCTTAAATGCCTACTTTTGGGAAGAAGCTGAAACCGCAGTTACGTTAGGTATTATCTCAGTGGACATGAACTGTTTGGGGCTGTTGAACCTATGAACCCATTTTCGGATGTCGGTGTATCTTTAAACAACAGTTGGGGATGTCCATTCGGTACTGGCGGGCACGCCAAGCAATTTTGTGCACCAGGGCTGGTCTCAGAGCAGATGCAGGTGTGTGACATTAGGTTGATCCTGCTTTCCTGGCTGCTCTCTAGCCAGCCCTTAAAAATCCTGGGTCAGAAATTGCGAATGCTCCCTCCTCTCCTAGTACTGGCTAGCATAAACATCCCATTCACCCCACACCCTGAGCTCCCTCCTCCTCACCACCCACTGTGCACAGCTTCTCTTGTCATTCAGGTAACTCCAACCTCCTTCACCAGGGGAGGGGAGCAGGTGGGTTGTACCAAGGATGTGAGCCTCATCCCAATCTCTTCTATGCTCCTCTTCACTGCCTGACTGTTAACAAGAGTTAGGTTTGGGGGACTTGGAAGCCAGGTTCCCCCATTCTGCTGAGGTGGGTCTTATACAAATGTCAATCAGTGACTTGTCTTTGTATCTCTATAGAACCACTAATGCTTTAGAATAACAATGTAGAAAGGTCTGGAAATCTTAAACTCCATCTCTCAGGCTGAAACTGAAAGTTGACTCTAGCTGAACTCTCCAGTATGTTATCTCTTTAGGATTACAAAACTTCAAGGACATAACTCATTTTTTAAATCAACTCTTTCTCAAGAATGGACGTTTTTGATCAGGTTTTTTAAAGGCAAAACTAAAAAACCCACCTAGCCACTTCCTTTTAGGTAGCAAGACAAGAAAGGTCTTTGGGCTGGGCAAGCATGGGTTGGAGCTGAGGGTACTGAGTTGAGCATCATTTGACTTTTTTCTTTTTGAAGTAGCATGGCATTATAATCTCCACTTTAAAAAAAGTCAGTATCTTAAAATAGCGTGGTAGCTAAAATAACAGTAACAACAACAGCGCTAGCTTGCCATTCATGAGAATGGTTGTTTGTTTAAAACCCAGGGCCTTGGTTCTGGCAACAGTTAGTTTCAACTAGCTGGGCTCCCACAAGAGTTGCTCTAATAGAAATCAGATGGTCTCCTGACAGGAAACATGGGTTCTATTAGCATTCTCTCAAGCCCTCTGTCAGGGGTTTCCTGCAGACACACACACACAGAACTGGAGGAAGGTGATGTAGACCTCTGTCTTTCAAAGGCTTCTCATGCTAATATTCCCCCTCTGAATAATAACTATTATCAGGCCAGTTTGATGGCCAGGCTGTCTGCATTCCCATCCCAGATCGTGGGAAGGTCGCTTGAACTGCTTTGTTGAAAGAGGGAGCCAGGGAGGCCAGCCATCACCCCACATGGTTGGGATCCCAGAGCTGCCTGCCAAGGGGAGTCATCAGTGGGTAATGCCTTACCCAGCCCTGCTCACCAGGCCCATGGCACATGCAGCCAGATCATTCCTAGCCCCCTTTCCTCACTGAGAACCCTGCTCAGGGCTGGAGTTTGGGGGACCTGGAATGTGTTGGCTTGGGTGCCATCTTTACATGGTATTGGGAGGGGTGGAGTGACTGTCAACATGAATCCACTCAGACTAGAGGCTTCCCAAATTCCTAAACGGCAGAGTCACTAATGGCTTTATCACGTCACCTTTTCCTGCTTCCCTCTGCCGTTCTGGGCAGCATTCTCGGCTACTTGGTGTCAAGTTTTGACAGGTGATAAAAGCAACTATTGAGGTTGCTGCTTCACAGAGTCCAGATACATGACCATTGACTGATGTTATTTTTTGCCTTTGCTGGGACACTCCCTCACATCTGCTGTCACTTCTAATGGATTGAGCTGTATGTTCTGAGGTCTCTGCACTTGCCCTCCAGTCTGGCAAATGGCAGCTTGACCTGAAAGGAATCTGAAATAAATGAATGGGGACTACAGAGGAACACTGAGAGCAGGTGCTCGGCAGCATGACACTCCCTCCCTCCGCAGAAAATAAACAATTTTGCATCTCCGAGGAGATGAACTTTAAATCAAGATTTATTCAAGGCTCTTTGCTCCTCTTCTCTGAATCTGTGACATCGCAAACGCCTTGTAGGCCCGTGTCTGACCCTTGGCTTCTGGGGCCTCAGTGGAACTTGTTTGGTGATGGGGTTTGTCACCAGCAATTACACTGATAAGCAGGAAAACCCTATAGCTCCGGTGTGTCTGAGTTTGGCCAGGCAGGCGCTGTCCTTCAGAGGCTCTGTGGCAGGTTCTCATGGGCCATCTCCCACCACTTTTTTCTTCCTATTTTGCTCACAGGGCCATGTTTGCTGTTCAGTGCAGGAACTCCCCACCGTTCTCGGGTTCCCCCAGCTACAGTTGGAAAGACTTCAGAGTGTTCACTGTAGAGCCTGGGCCTGAGATCTCAGCAGGCCACGGCAGCAGATGCTCTATGCTTTTGTTTATTTCGTATTTATCCGTCCCTTCCTTAGGCTTCAGGGACCAGTGCCAACAGGTTATTAAAAGAATGAGAATAATTTGACTTCTGACATTGGGGCTTGGGGTTATGGGTGATGTTTTCTGATGTGAAATCAGCTGTTTGTTACCCACTAACTCTCCCCTTATTCTTTTCTTGCAGATGAGCTCACAGTGCCTGCACTTTACCCCAGTAGCCCTGAAGTGTGGGCCCCGTACCCTCTGTACCCGGCGGAGCTAGCGCCTGCTCTACCTCCTCCTGCTTTCACCTATCCCGCTTCACTGCATGCCCAGGTAATTTATACCCATCGGCCACGACTGCACTCACTCCACCACCGGTCCTTTCAGATCTGGTTCCCCAGAGCACATCATACAACTAACACCTGTCCAGCTAACAGACCCACCTCCAAGAGATTAATGATCCCTTCTAAATCAAGCTGACACTCTCCAGAACTGATGAGGACCGTCTGACAGCCATGACATCACCCACTGCCTGATGTTTGCCCCCAAATGACACCTCTCTCTTCCTTAATGAGCTCACCCTCATACCACACACAAGATCAGGGCCCAGGTCACCCCAGCTGGAGGGCGCCCCAGAGCCTAGCCGTGTGCCTTGTCTCCAGAAGGCTTCAGGGGGGAGGGGTGCACTTACAGAGGCGCCGTGGCCGGGTTTCTGGGTCGTGAGGTGTCTGCTTGTCTTCTCGTTCGAGTGGCCACACGGGAATGTTGGGAGCTTTTGAGAGGAAGACTGCTGCTTACATGTGTGACAGGAAAGATTAAGGGCTCCTGTTTGCCTTTTTTAGGAAACCCTGTGGAAAGGAGGTACAATGTCTAGGGTGTAATTACAGGCCAAGACAGGTCTCGGTCTGACCAACTTTCTCAGTTAAGAATAGCCTGAGTTTTATAAACAAACCCCCTTGTTTCTCTACAAAGATCACAGTCTTATATACCATCTCTTCCTCTCCCCCTGGTGAAAGCTTCTCTTAGCTTTGTTTTTAGTATAAGTAGTAGTAAAACAGCATCAGGGTTCAGAATGATGATCAATAGAAAGTAAAACAAAGAATATAGATGGACTTCTTGCTGCATTCTTAACTCCTATAAATAGGAAAGCCTGATTTTAAAAAATTGTTAATCTAGTATTTGGGGGTTTTGTCTCTTTTGCATAATGCTTATTGGCATGGCCCTGGATGAAATGAACAGCTTCCAAAAATTTCTTTCTTGACATACACCTCTTTCACATTGCATAGAACTCTCGCTGTGTGAGGCAATTCAAGCATCCTAGTGAGTTTCTCATAGTCGTGGGCGTTGCGCCTCAACATGCTGCCATTCTCAGTCCTCCTGGGTCACCCACACCCCGTGCCTAAGTTAACACCTGGCTACCTGGGCGCCATGTGGGCAACATACAGAGAAGGCCCTGGGCCTGGGCCCCAGCAATGTTCACACTCTGTGTTCAGACAAGAGGGTGTAAAATGTGTAATACAAACAATGAAGAAAAATGTACAACATGACAATTAAGAGTGCTTGGCATAGAAAATTAGGTGGCAGGACTATTCTGAGACTGACCACTCAGTTTCTACATTGCTTTCCTTCCTCTGCTACTTGTTCAAACCTTTTGTCTATGTCAGTGGTTGATCACCCTTTCAGGGGATGGAGAAACGATAAAATACAAAACTCAGGGTATCTTCTGAGTTATTAGTATGTTTGCCGTGGGCCTGTGGATAACTTTGTAGATGATATGGAACAAATAAAAGGCCTCCTATTTGTGGATGTGTCTCTGTTTCCCTGGCTAGACTGCCTAGGACAGACCTGTTGACAATCACGGCCAAGTGCATCTGGTCTTTTGCACATCCTGGTTTGGGTTATTTTGCCCCAAGCTTGCACCTTTGCCCTGGCCAGAAAGGGCCAGGAACGGTGTGGCCATGGCAGTCTGGTAACTTGCTCTTGCTTGGTTCACACAATGGAAGAAATGGAAAGTAACTCAAGGGATATGGTAGGTGCTAAAGAGGCATAAGAAATCCGCCATGCCATTATGGGAAAGGATGGGAGCAGCAGAGCCAAGGACTCAGCCACTGGATGAAGGGCATAGATTGCCTGGGGCGTCTTCCTTGAGCTTGAGCCTTTCCCAGTCTGGAATCCACTTGGCTCCATCACATCGCTCCCAGAGCTGGTGAACTCTCATCTCATATCAGTGGCCTTCAACCCCGCTTCTTGTTTGGAGGCATCCCCAGTTGCAAACATGGGTTCTGTATCCTAAGGACTCATGAACAAATAGTATTATTTAAAATTTTTTGTCCAAGATGAGAAGCATAGCATGAATCAGCTGGTTTGACTCACTTTACATATGAGGAGACAGCCCAGAGAAGATGGAGTAACAAAGTCCGCACTCGGCCCTGACTACACCAGGTCACCTGACTCCCAGGCTTTGTTCTGTACACACCGCAGTGCTGGCTCACCAAAGACTTATTCTTTGATGGAACTTTGGCAAGGCCTCACTCCAGTAACTCCTTGGATCTTTAAGTAGAGGGGAAGGCTGTAAGAAGAGACTGGGAACCAAAGACCAGGGAAATTAGCACTTAACCTTCCCCCTAAGGGCCTCAGGATTTTTAACTTGTGCCGAGTGGGGAAGACCAAAACAGAGCATTTACATTAGAGGGTCATTTCGTTTTTACCTTGGAAATCTCATATATCTTTGAAGACGCTTTTGAGTAATTTTGCTTTTCTTAGCAGTGTTGTGCTCTGTTTTGAGACATGGATTTTTTTTTTCTTCTAGTGTTTCTCTCCTGAGGCAAAGCCCAACACACCTGTCTTTTGTCCACTTCTCCAGCAAATTAGATTTGTATCTGGGAATGTGTTTGTAACATATCAGCCTACTGCAGACCAGCAGAGGGAGCTCCCATGTTGAATTTGCTTGTTAGCTACTCTCACCCCTCCCCCTTTGCAAAAGCTATTTCTTGACAACATTTGAGAGATTTCAATAAAAATTGTAATCAGAGCAAAAATGGTCTCAAGTAGACTTCAGCGTTTTGTTTTCGTGGTGATGCAATTTGGAGCTAAGATGTCTTCTCTGAGAGTCTGGGATCGGTGGGCCCATGAAATCACAATGTGTAGGAGTGCGGAACGCAGGCCCAGTTGCTGCTGCTCGAATCTGCCTGGACCCCTGGACCCACCAAGAGGTGTGCATCGGAAGATTCTCAACCTGGCATCCGAGGGTCGAATCTCCCTGGAAATCTCATCTCAACAGAGATGGCCTCATGAGTGAAACCTTATTTGACACAAATGGAGGCATCTTCCGTCTGTCTGCTGTAATCCAGAGAAAGGGAGAAACCAGGAAACTTGTTAAGAAGGAGTTAGATCACTGGTCTGATCTGGTGCTTCTCTCTCTACATGCTTAATGTGAAGTAGATGCCTATTTCCTGTTAAATCCCATTTTTAAAGAATTAGATAAGAAAATAGAACCGGAAATCTCAGAACATACTAATTTTACAGATAAAAGAGCTACTTGGTACAACCAACATTTTAAGATTCATGTTTTTGGTGGTGAATTAATTTATTTGCAAGGTCATTGGTATTTGAAATGTATTTCATGGATTATGTAAGCCGCTGTGACCAGGGGAGGAAGGTTTCCCTCCGACTGTTAGGAAAGGATGCTCTGAAGAGAACATCCAGCTGCTGGCCGCCTCATGTTCACATACCTCAGCTGTTCAGGTTGGGTTTAGCCGATAGGACTTTATCTGTCTAGAAAGTCAAGTATGCTGTTTTTACTACACACTAGAAACAGAAAAGCATCTGCTTTGCCCAGAATCTCATTGTTGAGCTAGAAACTTTTGCAGGTAAGTAGCACTGAGTGGGCAGGTTTCTTCCTCTGGGGCTTACTTGCCCTGAGTAGCAAGTAACCTTCTGAAAGGGGCTTTCTGTAGCCAGGAGTAGAGCATATCACCTGTATGTAAACAGAAGGCCCTGAAACCATAACACAAACTTGCTGGGAGCAAGATGTGTGCTGGGGAGCAGTCCCTTGTGACAGTCTGGAAAATTTTTAAAGGTTAAACCCAAAATAAATACAGAAGTGGACCATGGGAAAATAGAGGCAAACTGGGAAGGCAGATCACAGAGGGACAATGGCACAGGAGTGGCATGTGGGTGCAGAGCTCATTCCTATCACCAGGTCCCAGCATCTAATCAGCAGCATCCTGTAACTTCTGGAAACTGCATTTTCAAACTTCTTTTAAAATAGAAATGCATCAAGTCTTGCCACTGTGTCCTGTAAAGACTACAGAAGAAGACAGTGTGGTTTGTCGTTTGGGATTTAATTGAGGTTCGGGGGGGGGGGGGAGAGACCCCTAGAGGCACAGCAGTGACACAATCAGCCAGGAACATGCTGTTTGCACCCAACAGGGACTCTTAGTTTTGGCTGCTGCTTCTGTTCTGAAGGCAGTAGAGAGTAGGGGTTGATCCCATAGAGACACCCCTGAGAAGTAAATCCAGTGCCTCAGAGCCCCTGGTCACTTCCCCAAGGTAAGGGAGGAGATTCTAAGCTTCGCCTTTGGACATTCTACGTGACATTGCTCCCAGCCCTTGCAGTCCTTGACCATGTAGCTGTGATGTGACTGCCACACACCATAGCTTGGAGGTTGCCTTTGTGACTGTTAAGTCCAAATTTTTCAAACAAATGAAACTATTAATCTTCTGACTTTACCTCTAAACCAACAGCTCTGTGAAGAATGTGAGGAGAAACAAACCCTCAGGTGTCCATCTCCCGACTATGCCAGCCTTGACTAGTTCTCCCTCGCATTTGCTTTCTGGTCACCTAGGAACATCTGGCTGAACTCAGAGGAGACTGGGCAGGGTAGATGGTCCAGGATCAACCCCCTCTGAGCACCAGTGGGAGCTTGAGGGAACTGCGTCTCCCAGTTACGGGACCAAGGCACCCCCTTTGCTTTTCCAGGCTCTGCCCCATGAGGCCTGACCTTTGCTGTGACTTGTGTCCTTGAAAGGGTCTGGGTGTGAGTGGATAACAGAAGGGGTGCGCTGTGGGGCTGCCAGAACACATTGCTGTGTGAGCTGTTTGAATGAGTTCTTGGCCTCCCTGGACTTCACCAGAGGGGGCTAATGACCATTCATTCATGGGCGTGCCTAGCCCAACCCAAGGGCTTGGTGACTGTTAGTCTTTTAAGGGGCATTTGAATTTTCACCAAGGAGTACATAGCCTCAGACTCACTGCATGAGGCTGTGATTGTTTCAACACTGGGAGTGTCCAGCATGTCCTGAGGTGCCAGTGGGACTGCACAGTCCTCGTG